CTGCCAGTTCTCTATGCTATTCGCGGTAAAAGTCCTTTCGTCGGGTGAAACTGGAAAAGCTGGATTCAAACTAATTAGCTATAAAAACTTTCCACCGATCCTTGCGTTGAGCTATTACAAAATGGAGAATATGCTAATTCCTTAACTTGTAGGAAATGTGTAATGACAATTCGCCACAGCTGACTTGACCGATTAACTTGACACAGTCCCAGGAGGTTGAGACGGAGATGTGTATGTATCGTAGCCCTAGGGTACATTCACGATTATCTGCAAAGACGAGTAGATTGAATCCTTAGTCTATTCCAGTACCGTAGAATCAAACAGTCAGTTAGCATTAGGTCATTGATTTGGAAAATCAGTCCTACAAAACAATGATTAATTCACCATAGATTTCGGTGAAGTCCACCATATACACAAATAGGTTGGTGCAGTGATGGTGACTGGCCAAAGGGGTAGCTTTAAAGTGATAGCAGACGTAGTTAGCGCCAACCGCACTCTCCACCTTCACCATGGGTCAAGGAGACCAGCGGCGTTGGCCTCTTTCTTCAATGTAAGCCATTTCTACTAGTACTAGCGTAGCTGAGTGTTAGTAATGCGGGCACTATTTCTGACGTTAGTATTTGCCAGGGGTGTCGCTGACTAAAGTCAATGCTGAGGCTCAAAGTAACCTCGATTTCAGCAAGGAGTGTGATTCTGGGTTTAAGCTATTCCGAGTAAATACATGTTCGAGGCCCTGAACACCTCAGGGTTTGCCCTGGTTTCCGCCTTCTCAACTCTATTCACCAAAACTGTGTCACATTCTACTAATTTTAGGCTATGATGCTGCTGTGAGAGGTCATATGCCATTACTAAACGTACGGTACTAAAGGACAGCAGTATGACAGTAAAGTAGCAAGCAGCTACAGTAAGACAATAGAACAGTCCAATACAGTGCAACAGGAATGGCGCCATATTAGTGACCATTTTTTAAATCTAACGAGCACGTAAATATACACGTAGGAAGTCGGCTCCAGATAGGAATGACAGTGGAGACGGTCTGACTTATGCCTGTCCATATCCGGCGACAAAATCTAGTGTCGAGAAAGCCCGATTACCCGACATGGCATTTAGGGTTTTGCCTGTCTGAGCCAAAGGAGAATCATTTTTTGCAGTCACTGGGCATAGCTTTCGATAGGCAACGCACAGTCCCAGAATACCGTCTTTCTGCATGATTAGCCTAACTTCTGTCATGTTTCTACTGTTTTTACTGTTCTCAGGCTAACTGTAGAATTACTACCGTACCTAGGTATAGTTTGGAACTTACGGAACGTCTCATGTCTAAATAAGGGCAAAACAGGTTCCAACATGAGCTAAGCATGACAGCATGGTAGTACCTATACCGTATCACAATCTGAGTGGTAAGACATGCATCTTGTGTTTTCAATAGGCCTAAATGATGGGAATATGCACTTACAAGCTTCCGTATCCTCAACGGAAATGATCGAGTGAACACACCGGTTATACTGGGGGAGACTTTTGTCGCTGTTCGGATGACGCAGACCAACAGATGCAGGCAGGTGCTCACGGGTGATGTTGCCTTTGGAAGTCACTTGCTAAAGCTCTGTATCGGCTGAGCGCCCAAATTGCTTTGTGAGTAACCAATAGCTCCCGGTTTTGCACGCGACTTTTCGGTCATAAATTTCGATGATGCCCAACTTATGCTCCAAACAGGTTGGTGCAGTGACTTGAGCGTCAGTTAGGTTTTAAATGGTAGTAGACTTTCTGCAGCATCAACCGCACTCTCTCTCTCTTCTCTCATCCATCTGACTTCGCTGTCTCTCTGTCTCACTTAAGGCTCGGAGAGCGTCCCACGTATTTATACGGGGGAGGGCATTCGGAGTGTGGCAGGTTTTATCTTAAGAGTGGAGCGTCGTTTTACCTAAGTGCACCCCGCTGCGGGTGTGGTAGTACAACAGACACGGTGCTTTTCGCCGTCTAATTTGACTGCGTTTGCCATTGGATACAAGGCTCCATCCATCAGTCGGGCTGGACTTGGGTCCTCGTCCTCAAGCTGTCATTCCGTACCATCAAGCTAGTTGTCTGTGCATAACGTAAGATTCCCACCACAGGTTCTGCGACAGTTCACATCTGCAGATGTCGATGCAGCGATTTCGCATCCTCCTATAAAAGGACCAATTCCGTCTTGCCTTTCTACACATGCGTACTCTCAAAGACACGTTTACCTATGCTTGCCTCGACGCTATGAGCTCGGCATCCGTTTCGCGTCGGGAACTGCATCACCAGGGGCCGTTAAAAGCGCACCTTATTTGGTTGAATGACCATCGTGGTATGCGTGAGCCTGCATTTGCCTTTCGTGAACAAGCCTTTTAATACATGGTGACCAGTTGACCGTCGTGTCCCATAATGTCAACCATAGGCCTCACATAAGGGTGGACCCATGGGCAATAACTCGAGAGTGAATTAGTTTACAATGATAGTAGACTGGTGCAGCATTTGCCGCACTCTTCTCTCTCCCACCCAACCACATGCCGTGTCATGAAGGCGTGAAGAAAACTGAAGGTAAGGTCACGCGCAGGCGTACCACCATGGCCCCGCCCGTCGCGCGTCCTTTTTACGTACCGGCCCCACACGCCAATCATCGTTAATACCTATTTCAAAATAACCAACGCCGTTGAAGTTTAATAAGACGTTATTCGACCGCCTGCAGTAAGTTATGTCTCCTAGGCTCCCTAACAATATACACGTTTTAGTAAGGAATCAAAAGGTACGTACGAACAAACGTGAGACAATTATCCACCCCATACTCCCCGGGTTTGCCATCAGCTGTCGATATGACATTGGCTGCTGACTTCTTGGCTCTGGTTAATGGATGGGGTTGTTTGTGACTGACTACAAGTTTAGGTACCTATAGGAACACCTCTTTAACTGATATCCAAGTAACAAAAGGGTTGCCCCACGTACCGCTTACACTGTTGGATCAAGCATAAACAAATTTGTTTCTCCACCGTCGCTCATTGCAAGGAAAAGTGACAGTCGGACCATATGTTTGTGCGATTGCATTAACGTTTCACTGCAGCCTAAAAGATGACCTTGATTCAAAAAGTTTGTGCTGGGAAGCTTCTGTTCACTAAAGTGGTTTTGTGCGCGTACTAGGATGTCACGAAAT